GGGGGCGCGGGCCCCGGCCGGGCGGCGACTGCTGCAGCCCCGGTCGTCAGTCTGCCCGCGGCCTGCGGCTTCCTACTCCTCGTCCGCCGAGGCCCCGCGCGTTCGGGCGCTGGTCTATGGGCACCACGGGGATCCAGCCAAGGTCGTCGAGTAAGAGAAACGCGAGGCCGGGAAAGGGGACCGGAGGCCCGGAGGGGTGGACGGGGAAGGGAGGGACAGGGTTCGAAGAGGCGGATAAATTGCAAAGACCCAATTGCAAGACCGAAACGGAAGCCCAGGGCGCGTTTGGTAGCCCGGAAAGTCGGTGCTCCGGGGTAGTTGAAGACCCGAGAGCCAGCTGGAAGGTTATGGCTGGCGTTGACTGAGCATGATGTGTCAGGCGGTCCCTGTTTAAATGGATGCCCACATTTGGTTGTCATAACAAGGTTTGGGCGTCGTTATTTGAGTTAGCCCCATTTTGCAGCTAAGCAAACCGAGGCCCAAGAGAGGTAGAATCGCTTCCTCCGGTCCCACAGCAAGTAAGTGACAGAATCGCAATGCGGACATAGGTTCGCTTCCATTTGCATCTTCTCGATCAGGAGGTCATAGATCATGTTTCCTTTTCCAGTGGGCCAAGACTTGTCTGAAGTAATACAGCTAATAAGTGGTTTGCGTGCCGAGGCTTCTGACGCTTAGCTCACGTGAGTTTCTTCTGCACCAAACGTGTATATTGGCCTAGCTGAAAAGGACTGTTTTTGATTGTTTGCTATAGGGTGTGTGCACTTGCCAGAGAAAGAGACAGGCAGAAAAGGAGAGGGAAAATGAGATGCCCCCCCCGGGGTGGCCATGCGGCTCCTTCACCTCCAGTACCCTCTCAGGATCTTGAGCATGCAAGCACAGGCACCTAGCATGGTTTTCTTTCTTCCTTTTTTTAAAGAGTTATTTAATTTTATGTCATCATTATTATTTTTTTTTAATTTGCTGTAAGGCACGCACATTCACCAGAGAGAGAATGAAAGGGAGAGTGAGAGCAGGAAAGTGAGAAAGCAAGCAACCAGGTCTGGGGCTTGAACCTCCGTCAGCCATGTGGGAGTCCAGCACCTTAACCACCACAACACCTGTCCCTTCCTGCCTCCGCATGATTTTCAAGCCAACAGGTTTGGGGCTCTAACAGCATAGTCAGCCATATGGGATCCAGTGCTTTAGCCACTATGCCACCGGTGGCCCCAGTAGGTTTTTTTCTTTCTTTTTTTTCATAAAGGTTTTTGCTATAGGGCGCGTGTATTTGCCAGAAAGAGAGAGACAGAAAACGAGAAATCACCCCCCAGGGGGAGAATGGCCATCCCTTCTCCTCCATTCTCCTCGCAGGAACTTGGGCACACACATACATGTGCCCGGTGTGAGTTTAAGCCACCGGGTCTGGGACTTGAACCACGGTCGACTACATGGGAGTCCAGTGACACAGTCATTACGCCATCTGCTTGCTGGTCCCCCAGTAGTTCTTTTGAATGGCTCTTTCTAGTGCAGCCTCACTATGTTGGTGATTCACATCCTGCTTTTAACAGCCATATGCAAAAATCATGAATTAAGACTCAACAGAATTTTAGGAGTAGGTAATCTTTTTTTTTTTTTTTTTTTTTAGAGGTTTTCACTATAGGATTCGTGCCCTCCCACAGAGAGAGACATAGAGACCGAAAGCGAGAAATCACCCCCCAGAGTAGATGGTCACACCGCAATCCCTTCTCTTCCATTCTCCTCTCGAGATCTTGGGCACGCATGCACACACACCCGGCGTGAGTTCTAAGCCACCGGGTTCGGGACGCGAACCACGGTCGACTACGTGGGAGTCCAGCAACATAGCCATTACGCTAACTGCTAGTTCCCAGGAGTATGTAATCATAAAATGTGACCTCAGGAAGGTTAAGTAACTTTTCTAAGATCAAAGAGCTACTAAGAGGGTGAAGCTGTATTTAACTTTAGGTTTCCATGGCTCAAAAACAGGAAGGCGGGACTGCAAGTTGCCATTCCCCTGAGGGATGCTTGCTTGCTCACCCTTGCTCTCTCTTCTGGCAAGTGCACATGGCCTATAGCAAATTAAAAACAACAAACAAACAAACAAACAAAGGAGACAGTACAGATGTGGCTCCTTATTCTTTTTTTTTTCTAAGAGAGATTTTGCCATAGGGCGCATGCGCTCACCAGACAGCCAGAGAGAGATAGAAAGCAAGAAATCACTCCCCCCGGGGGGATGGCCAGGAAGTGTTCCCTTCTCCCCCATTCTCAGGCTTTTGGGCACACATCCACACACGTCCAGCATGAGTTTAAGCCACCGGCTCCAGAACTCAAACTACAGTCAACTACATGGGAGTCCAGCTCATAAACATTACACCATCTGCTGGTCCCAATGGCTCCTAATTCTAATCAGCTGCCATCAATCTAATGCACCCTCTGTCATGGTGTCTCACTTAGAACTCTGATTCCCGGCAAATCGTTTGGTAATCTTCCAAAAGTGGGCAGAGATGGGATTTCAGTGGTTAAGATGCAGACCAGAGACTGCTTAGAACGGCAGTGAAGTGCTGCTCAAGAGAAGTCCGTCCCACATGGCAGCTGCTGTTCCAGTGCCCTCCCAGCCAGCCCACAGCATTCTGGGCATGTGTGCAAGTTCCCAAGATCCAACTGGCTAGAGGGGTGAAGGAGCAGGATTGCAGCCTGACCAGACCCTGTGGGAGGTAACAGTTTTTAAAAGAAGATACAGGTTGGGACCAGCAGTTGGTGTGATGGCTATGTCGCTGGACTCCCATGTAGTCAACCATGGTTCGAGTCCCAGACACCTGGTGGCTTAAACTCATGCCAGGCACCTGTTCGTGCGTGCCCAAGATCCCGAGAGGGGAATGAAGGAGAGAGGATTGTGTCATGGCCATCCCCCCCCGCCCCCC